AGGGGAGTAAGCTTTAGAAGGGGGAGATGATATTGAGGATCTGCTGACCATATGGGGGTTGTTGCATTTCAGAGATGTGTCCCCGACCGCCATAAGATAGCCGAACTTCAGCAATTTTAGCATAGTCTATGGTGTTATCTGCCGCGATATCTGAAGGACGGACGATTCCCTTAATCATGAGGTCTCGCACTTCAAAGTTTACCCGCATTTCTTGTCGCCCCCAGATGACGAGATTTCCATTGGGAAGGATTTGTGTAATCGTTGTGGCAATTTTTGTTTCTATTTCATCTGTGCGGTCGATGCCCCCTTTTTCTGCCGTTTGTCGGCTGCGCTTGCTTTTGTTTTCAATTTTAACCTTATCTTTTGTTTTCACAAGAACCGTGACAATGTCGCCAATGCGACTAGCGCGCTGATCTTCAAAGAAGGCTCGCGCTCCTGTTTGCCATAAGGAATTTGTTTGGCGAATTTGGACATGAGGGGACTCTGTCGGTGCAGAAGGAGTTGGCATTGGCATAGTCACGGGTTGATAATTAGGTTGAGCAACAGGGTTTGTAATATGAGTAAGGGGAGGTTCTTTTCCAATATAACCAAGACGAGGAGAACATGCGCTTACGAAGGTAAGTCCCATTAGTATCAAGATCAGTTTAAAAGGAGGAATAGAGTAAGTCATTTTAAGAAACAGAGCTCCCTATTGTTGTTGAGGCAAGGGTGATTTCTGCAATGCCTCCTTCAGAAATAGTCGCATAAATGGTCCGGTCTGTGTCAAGAGGGGCGATGCGAATCGTATCTCCAGCACATCCTTTTTCTAAAGCCTTCCCTTGCGTGGACAGGAAGAGTCCTGGGGATTTTACGTTGAGTGAATAAGTTCTGCGCGTTGTACAAGTACAGGGCGCATGATTTGAGTTTTTCGAATGGGGGTATTGCTTTGAATCATCCGGCCTTTTGTTGTTCTGCTGATTAGATCTTCTTCGCTTAGGATTATCGATCCAGAAACTTGAGACGCTGGGATTTGAATCCACTGGATGTTGTCTGTCGTGATGATATCTCCCTTTGAAACAGGGTGAGTCACCGTCGGAACATCCACTAAGTGGGAGAACCTCCCTCGTATGTGGACTATTTTTCCTTGTGCAGAGAGGGTCGCCTTAAACGTATTTCCTTGAATGCGAAATGATTCGATATTGATCTCTGGTTTTATCGCTTCAGGAGCATACGTTGGAATAATCATAGAATGCACCTTGCTTGTGAGCTCTAAGTGAATTTGGTTCAAGTGCGTTTGAGATTTTAAATTTTCTTTGATCCTATCTAGGAGATCTTCAGGTGAAAATACAAAAGCATGACGGGTAACCGTGATAGGATGAAATGTCGCGTCAGGATACCAGTCAATGCTATGATTTTGAGCTGTTTTGACCATCCATGTTTTGGAAAGTTGAAATTGTTTCCCTGCGTGTGGAGCCCTAGAGACAATAGCATCCACATTAGGGGGAAGTCCTTCAAAAATGTCAGAGAGGCTGAGTGAGTCCTTGTAGAGTGTAATAGCGCGGTAGGGAATTGGGAAAGCCTTTGATTCACAAAGGCTCCCGATTATGCAGATAACGCTAAAACCAAAACAGGATAGTTGTTTCACCATGGTGTTTTCTCCCCGCGTATGATCTATATGTTATTAACTTCAGACATCATTTGATCTGCAGTTTTTGCTGCTTTTGCACCAAGTTCGTATCCACGGTGGATCAAAATAATGTCCATCATTGCTTCTACAGAGTTTACGTTAGAAGCTTCCAAGTATTCTTGGTTCACAGACCCGAATCCTATAGAGTTTGGTGTTCCAACAATGGGGGCACCAGAAGCTGTTGTTTCTATAAGCAAATTCTTTCCAATAGATTCTAATCCAGCAGTATTATTAAAGTTGGCAAGTTCAAATTGTCCAAGCAGCTGAGGTTCTTGCTGACCATCAATTTTCGCATAGACTTCGCCTTCATCGTTTACGCGAACGCTGAGGGCATCAGGGGGAATAGTAATACCTGGCTGGATAGTGTATCCATCTAGTGTAACGATGGTTCCGTCACTGCTTTTTTTGAATTCTCCATTACGCGTGTAAGCAATTTCTCCTGTTGGGAGCTGAACTTGGAATAATCCATTTCCACTAATGGCAAAATCATAAGGGTTGCTTGTTTTTTTAAGATCCCCTTGTGTATCCAATGTGCTGACCCCTGCAAGTTTTACACCGACCCCAATGTGTGTGCCGGTAGGGGATTCTGTACCAGAGGTAGACGTGGGCGTTCCAGCTGTGCCTCGATTGAGATAGATTAAATCTTGAAAGTGTGCTCGACGCTGTTTGTAACCTATTGTATTGGTGTTGGCGATATCATTGGACTTGACGTTTAGTCGTGTCTCTTCACCGAGCATCCCTGTCGTTAATGTATTGAGGGCTTGAAACATTTTCTTCTCCTTTGAATTTTTATTGACCTAAGCTGCAACCAAATCTGTAGGGGGGATGGTCAAAAGGTCATCTATGTCAGAATCTTGTAAATCGTTTGCCTGTTTAATGACTTGCTGTGCTTGTTGATAGGTTCGTAAGATTTTGATCAAATTCATGCTTTCTTCGACAGGATTTGTATTTGCCCCTTCTAGAGAAAGTGGAACGATTGTGACATCAATCTCATCTTTGGGGGCAGTATCTGTCATAAGCAAGTTTTCACCAATGCGATTAAGAACTTGTGGGTCATCGAATTCTGCAACACCAAGCTGAGCAATCGCTTCTCCATTTGCGGAAATGGTACCATCTTGAGAGATCGCAATATCTGCCCCTGCAGGGATATCGATAGCGCCGCCACCAATATCTAAACAGGATACCCAGACGCATTAGAAAGCTGCCCATTTTCATTAATATGAAATGCACCATCTTTAGTATAGGCTAAACCTTGTGGACCTTGGACCATGAAAAATCCTTTTCCACGGATTGCGGCATGGAGAGGATTTCCCGTGCGCTTAATGGGCCTTGTTGTGTGCTGCGATAGTTCCCCGTTGCTTGTGCCATGATAAGATAGTTTTCAAAATGACTACCAGGACTGTAGGGCGTGACGACAACATCATTGCGTTGGAAGCCTGTTGTATTAATATTTGCGATATTTTCTGCAGTTAGGTCCAATTGTTTGGATAAGATTGACTGGGCTGCGAGAGCATTATAAACAACGTTTTGCATCATGCGCTTAACCTCCTCTTTCACTTTTGGCGCAAAAGCCTTTGCCCCTATCAAAGCAAATACCGTGCCAACTTTTTTTGAAGACGCTTTTTTATTTGTAGGTTAAGGTGTTTGACGAATAGCTGGACCTGCTGTTAATAATGATTGTAAGAAATGGAATTCATTTGGGAGGATACTGCATGCATACTGATGGAGATCGTCTAGATTACGACGTCTTGGTTCAAGATGCTTTGCGCCATGTTGCCCGCTCTGCCTTAAAATATGTGGCAGAAAACGGGCTGCC